TAATCGGGCCCAACATGGCTACAACGTCGCTTTGGGATTGCTGCTAGAGTATAATAACCACCGCTCACAACTCAATCAGAGTCATCAATATTGATCGGCTCATAATGCTTCACCGCTGCCAAGTTCTGCTCCACGGTAGCCTCCCTGGTGGGTGCAAAACCCACGGATGTGTACGCAGCTCCTACATTCGTAGCCACTCGCTGCCTCCGACCTGGGGATGGGGTACCATTAAAATATCTCGACTGAGAGCCCGTGGTAGGTGGAGAGCTGGCACCAGGGCGTTTTGGGCGAGAACCCCCAGTGGGCGTGGAACCGGTATGAGGACGCTTCGACGCCCCTGTGGACGTGGAGCCAGCATCAGCACGTTTTGGATTGGGAGCCTGGGCGGGAGATGACTGTGACATTAGGGCAACCTGGCGCGTCGGCTGGCGAGGCTTTGCATTCTTGGTGTGCCCAGGAGGTGTGGCTGACTTGTTGCAGAATGACTTTGCGTCGAGCTCTTGCACCGACGTATCAACCGCTTTCTTTGCCTCCGCCGGGGAACTCGATATCCTCGCCGTGAACAATGTGGAGTCAGGGCGACCCAAAGGGACAAGCATGACTTCATCATCTTCCGCATGAGAAGATTGCCGCGTCGGCGAAGTCCCCAACTTTGAAGCGGGGCGCTCTTTAGGCTTGGGCACGTGCTTCGAGAAACCGGGCTCTACAAGTGCGGAGAGGTCGGTGATTTGAGGAGGTTCTGGGGTAGGGGAGTCCTCGATAGAATCCTCAATAGAAGGAATGAGGGGTGTGTCGACGACGAGGTCCATAGGCTTGATTACCTCCTTCCCACCTTCTGTCGGTATCATACGTCCTGCTGGCTCCTTTGCAGTTTTCGCGGGCTTTGGTGCCTTTACAGGAGACCCTATTCGCCCTTGCGCCGGTTCTCCCGCCATTTCCACAGGTTTCAGCGGCTCTGGTACAGCTGCATGTCGTGATTCCTCCCTCCGGCCCACAACCGAATCGCGAGAAGGAGAGGTGCTCAGTTTGGCGCTTTGAGCAAAAAGTTTTGTCATTCTCTCCGCGGACATGGGATAGATCATCCCCGCATTTTGCTGCCGGCCAGGCTCTGTGCGGGTCATACTCTTTTCGTAGAAGATAGTATCCCTCCAGAGCGTTCGCAATAGGGGGGCACTTAATGCCCATTCGTGCGGCTCCTTAGACAGCAGAGCCTTGACGAAGGTATCTGGATCCTTGACAAACTCTTGCACGTATCCAAGGACATAGACTCCGCAGTCTGTGAGATTCGATTGCTGCGGTATATTAGTGGCCTTCATCCCAAGGCGAGTTGGCCAATCACCTTGCTCAAGCCTCCTGCCACGCTTGTCTTCGAACTCTTCAACGAGATATCGGCGGAGGTTCTTAACGGCAGGGCCGTGACTAGATCCGAGCGAGTCCAAGAGAATGATTCTGGGGTCATCAAGGCTATAAGCAGGCTTGCGTTGCTTTGGCTGAGTAGAAGCTAATGGGCCGAATCCGGGTTTGCCATCGGTGGCTTTGTCCACAACATCAGACGTAACCAGCTTTGGTGCATCAGTCATTTAGACGTCGATAGGGATCGTGGCTTCGGCTTCTTTGGCCTTATGACGAACAGCCGGATCAAGTTTCCCTGGGTTGCAAATTATGGCAACCCACCAGTGGAAGTGCTGGTTGATTGGGACGACAATGTAGTCATAGGACAGCAGATCCACCTTTGCAGTCCATCTCTTGACATTTTCGTACTTGAATTGGTTGCCACCGTCCCCGGTCAAACTCGTGTAGAAAAAGCTGTTGTGCATGTAGACTCGCTTGCTGAGATCGGGATGCTTGTCAGTGAACTTTTCAAAAAGGTACTTTAAACCAAATTCAATGATGCTGTCGTTCAGATACTGGCCCTCATCCAGTCTTGGTATGTCATCCTTGGTCACCTGTACTCTGCCAAATTGTAACGGTGTCTTCCAGTCTTCCAACCAGCTCCTGTTTTGCAAAGACCAACGAGGCGGAGGAGGGGTCTCAGGCGATAATGATAGATCTACATCAATTGGAGCGGAAGTCGCATCTGTCGTTGATCCATGAGTTGACCTCAAAGATCGTCTGCCGTAAGTCGCGACTGGTTGGGGTGTTGCGGGCTCCGAAACTTGCATGGAACCGCGGATGGTGGTTCTCGGTTTGTTCGAGGGTGAGACTTGGCTGGGTGTAATGCTAGCACTGGTGCCCCGTGCCTTGCCAGCATCGGGAGGCTGAGCATTAGGAGATCCCGCACCAGCGACTTTGCCTGCTGATGACCATGGGGTATCTCGATTGATTTCACCGAGTGCTTTGTCATAAATGGCATGGAGCTTGTTACTAGAGTATGGTTAGCGAGGGCGGAGGACGAAATGCTTCGAGGATATGTACCTGTCTTCCTCTTCCACCACCTTTACCTTGAGAACCCTTGTAGCCCAACGAGCAACAGATGAAGCATCCTGAGGAGTCGCAAACTTGATGACCAGCAGTTTACCGATGTCCAGAGATGTATCAGTGGGTTGAGTGACCTTAATGAGGCTACTGGACGGGTGAAAATGCAAGGCTTTGATCTTGTTTGTAAGCTTGAGCCACTGTTGCGTCCCGTGGGGGTTTCCATTTTGTGTAAAGGCGCGAAGTTCCGCCTGAGGTTTATCATGATGTGCTTGCATGTAGCATGCATCTGTCCCGGCTTTCTCACCAGCCACATAATAGTAATTCCGGTAACAGACTGCTGCAGAAACAGTGAAGCGTTCGGACTCTCCAAGAGACTGACAGTCCTCACGACCGTTGGCTGCCTTTCTGGGGAATTGTGTAGGGACTATATCGCCCCTGCGAGAGACGCTGGGCCCTGGCTGGCGCTTCTTGCCATCATTGGGCGTATGACCCATTGCCAGCTCGTCGTCTTCGTGGGATTCCTGTTTCAGTCTCTTCTTCCCCTTGGGTTGGGCAGGCTGTAAGTGGGCTGATATATTCCTCAGAATCTCCAAGTCGGCCGCATCGCTTTGCACTTTAGACCGAGTTTGTTCTTGATTATCGGGGGCAGTGTATTTCTGACCGAACGCACTGGGAAAGTCCTCGGCCGAGGACTGACTCTTGTTGCTACCAAGAGACCTATGCCGGTGGCGGCGATTGCCTCGACCCTGGTACTCAGCCATTGCATGTGAATTCCACATATGAACATGCGAACTGATAGGCGAAGGAGATATTGAGGGGCTGTACGTGTGACCCCGCGATTGAATCGGTTGAGACGGGAATTCCTCGATAGACTCTTGTGACCCCCGTGGTATTACTTCGGTATCCCGGCTCGTCTTCTGCCGCTTCGCTCGTGGTGTTTCTCGAGAGTCATTGGAATGGGCCGATTGTGGCCTTTCGGTCGTCTTCTTGGGGCTCGAATCGAGGGTGTTGACGGCTTTCGCGCCCCAGGGATTCTAGGAAAGTTAGTAGCAATCCTGCATTATGATTGCAATGAAGTCGAGACGTACAAGTGATTTGAACACCGATCGGAGAGACATGTCGACACTGCGCTTTACAGGGCTTTACCACAGGCAGTGATTAGCTTCGGCGTAGTCAGGACAGTTTCATGGACACAGGCGCAATACCCATAGTCTGGAAAAGTGTGTGCGGTGCGGTGGTAGTCGAGCTCCTTCCTGGCAATAAGGTTAGGTTACGCTGCACAGAAGAGTTCGCCTGGCATCACAGGTAGATCAAGGGCTTACTCTTTCGCACTTTTCGCATCCTGGGCAGCTGTGGGAGCGGAGGGAGTCAGCAGGGTCGCTGTCCTGGTTCCAGTTTCGTGCGAGTTTCTCTGAGCAGGTGAAGAGTGCTCTGGTGGATCTTGCGCGTTCCTGTACAGAAAATGTGACCGGTAGGGTTCTAGGTTAGTGGGGCCCTCTACCATGTGCGCGCGCAAGATCAGGCATACCTTGATTGCTCCAGCTTGGAGAGCTTGAGACGGTTCTTGCGGCGGAGACACGATCCAAAAGCTCATAGGTTCCTTAGGCACGAAAAGACGGAAAACCAACTGCTGGTTTGTTGCGTGCAGCAGCTGTTGTCTTTTCTTTGGATGTCACGAGAACCTGTTTGTCTTGCCTGCCGGCAGCTTTCCCGCTAGATAGGCCATGATCCCTGTGGCCTCAAGCGCACTGACCAGGCCCACACCCAACCCACCTTGGCATTTCTGCTTGTGGAACTTGAACAAGTTCACCACATTCACATGTGTTACCAACACCTGGCACAAGCACAGCATGTTATTTTGCAGATTCTGTAGATAGAGGTTAGAAAGGGTCACAAAACATCTTTCTAGGCTTTGTCAAGATCTACTTAGGTGAAAAACCAGAGTGTAGGTATTGTGAAATACTACATGCAATAAGAGTACTTGCTCAAACTGACTAATTTGGTGGGGTCAACCAGCTCCTCACGCTCACTCTTAACCCCGGATCCAACCTCACAAGAATGCGTATGTAAACAACCTCATTTTGACCACTTGATCTATGAACTTGATGATTATAAAACGCAGTTCTTTGCCTCAATCATTACTCTCCATATCTCTCCCAAGGTTTCTCAAATTTGGCTCCAAATCCTACAAACCCCCACCAAAACCTCCACCATGACCCCCACCAACAAAACAACCCACATCGACCGCACCGCTCACGAACCCCGCGATAACGTACCTCTTCCCCTGTCCTCCTTCATCCCCCAGCTCTACTAACATCCCTCTAGTCCCTCCACGAACTCCTCATAACCACCATAACCCCCATAACCCCCGCAATCCGCCTCTTCCACCTCACGCCCTCCCAACCCTCCCAACCCCCCATCAGCTTCCTCCCCGGCCAATGGGTAGACCTCTACTACCCCCCCTTCCCTTCCTGCCAAAAACCCGGCGGCTTCACCATAACCTCACCCCCATCTCCACCCCCACATGGAACTAGCAATCCAGCAATCCCCCCTCAACCCCCCAGCAGCCTACCTCTGGCAGGACCCCTCCACCCTCTTACACACCCCCGTCCGCATCCGCATAGGCGGTTCCTTCACCTACCCACCCCAAATATTCTCACGTCCCTCCGAACAACAGCTGTTATTATCCTCTCCCAGATCTAGTAGCACACCCCCGGGCTTCAAAAAGTTGGTGTTGGTGGCAGGAGGAGTTGGCATAAACCCCCTAATCAACATCCTCTCCCACATCTCCACCACCCGCCCCCAACCCGAAATCACCCTCCTCTACTCTCTCAAAGATCCCAACAGCAAAATCCAATCAGGCGACACCTCCCAAGCCCTCTTCCTCGACCGAATCATCAATCTATTCTCCAACCAAAACGACCCCCTGAAAGGCAACATCAAGCTCTTCCTCACCACCACTGGTGGCCCCAACAACACAAACAACATCTCAACAAACGAAATAACAACCAAACATTTATCCATCCCTTTCGAAAGGAGAAGGATATCCCTCTCCGACGTCTCAAACGCCATCGGGGAGCACAAAGACGACGTGGCAGTCTACATATGCGGTGTACCCTCCATGACCGACCAATTTGTTGACGGCCTGACCTCTCCCTCCCCACAAGGTCTAGGCATAGACAAGAGCAGGGTCCTGTGCGAGAAATGGTGGTAATAATCTAGCAAATTACTCCTCTCATGAAAAGTATCAGCAGCCCCTTATATGTACTTTAAGACACCCAACGTAACATATCATATCTTCCTTCATGAAAACCAAACAGTAAACTAGCCGTACATCAGGGTATAATACAACACAACATTCCAAACACCATCCCAAAAAGACCTGTTCCGTAAAAAAAAAAAAAAAAAAAACTTCTATTCCCCAACCAGCATCTGCTCACACCCACATCAAATCCAGTTCCCAACCCTCTCCCCACTCCCTTCACTCCCCGTCTCCCCCTTATCACCAACAGAGACCTCCCTCCTCCTAACCATCTGCGCAAGCTTCCTAGGTGAAGCACTAAACTTCTTCTTCTTCAACCCAGAAAAAAGGCCCCCCCTACTGCCAACCCTCTCCGCCGCCTTCGGGCTCCAAACACGTCGTCTCCCATCATCTCCTCCTTGCGTCGTCTGTGGAGGAGAAGGACTGCGGCTCATCCACTGCGCCTCCGTCAACGTCAGCGTCTCCTGCTGAGTGATCAACTGATCAATATTCTGATGATGATTCTCCTGCTGAGGATGGAAAAACGACACCGACGGCGGCCTGGTATACTGCCTGAGCGGGTAAGCAGCTTGGTGTCGATGCGGTGGCGAAAAACTCGCCAGTCCATTATCAAACTTGCTTCCCGTCATCGGGTAATACCCCCCAGGAGACAACCTCGACTCGGTGATCGATCCATTCGTCGAAAGAGGCGACATTTCATAATTAGAAATCGAATACTCCTCTTCGTTGCCAACATCAACTATCTCATCCGCCTCAGGGGTGACAAGCTGCCTCACAGACTCGGGCGACCTAACCCTCTTCGCCATCGCTGCAACGCCAAACTCGGTGTTATCCAAACTAAAAGAGTCATCGTCGATATGTTGGCAAAGCGAAGGCGTTATTGAGGGAGCTCCCGACACTGCAGAGACGGCAGATGCAGCCGAGGATCGTCGTGAAGGTCTGCCAGAAAGCTGGTGAATGGGGAGTTCTGGCAGAGGGCGCTGGAGATACGACTCACGGTAGCAATCCCTAAGTGCTTTGCTCGGCTGGGGCAGCACAGCCTTGGATGTGGAAACCTGGAACCGCTCGGGTGGCGTGTTGAGCACGTAGACCGAGGGTTTGCGACGCAAGACGTTTTCTTGTTCCACCTCTTCGCTGTCGTCAAAGACTGCCTCATCCGAATTCTCCAAAGGAGACCGAACCTCTTCCGATGAACCGTTCTCGGTGGAGTCGATACTTGGGCCGCTATCACGCTTTGTGTTTGGCGAGATGTTTCGGAGAAAGTCGAGCTCCTTTGTGGGGATCAAGTTCAGCTGCTCGAGGTTACTCCAGGTGCGGTAGTGAAAACGGAACGAGGCAAAGGGTGACTCCTTGGGATCCATCAATATGAAGGTGTAGTAACACATGTCTTGAGGTTGTTCAACAAGACCAACACTGGGAGCCCTAGCATTGAAGTTAGAGGACAGAGTTGACAACTCGCAGTCAAAGACACTTACGCTATGCCATAGTTGTCTTGGAGTCGATATTCTTCCAGCTTTGGAGCTCTAGCCCGCCGTGCTTTAGCGCGAAAGGCTTGTATCTCAATCAAACCGCCATCCTCTGCCACAGATTTGTGCTCCTGGCCTGGCAAGAAGACGAAGTTGCGGCTTTCGATCCCGACTTGGTCCATGTATCGAGATGTTGGCGCCCAGAGGGACTTGACTACCCTTCCATTATCCTTGACAGCTGGTTCAATCCCCCAGGCGGAAATGGGCCTGGCGTTCATGTAGAGTCGAAAGAAAACAAACTTGCAAGGGGAAGGCGGCGGAGCGTTGACGGCATAGTTGATTGAGAAACGGGTTCCTGGACCGAATTAGCGGATGCCTCTGCACCATCTTCGATCGAAAATCTCACCAGAAACAGATGGAATGTAGACAGACACTGACGGGCCATACTTGTGGTACTGAGCCGGGGTTGGGTGAAAGGTCGTGGCCAAGCTCTTGGGTATATCGTCGGGAACAGTCTGAGAGAAGCTACGAGCTGGACATCTTGAACCTTCTGGATGCGGGTACTCGGGGATTCGTTCATCGTCTGGGCTCGTAGAGATGGAAATCTCGATGCCTCGGAGGCTAGGCATCTTGAAGGAAATCAACGAGTGACTGGAGGAAATGAAATGTCGAAAGAAAAGGCGACTCTGTGGGCCTGAAGGCTTCCCGGATGCGCAAACAAGATGCAAGCAGGAACCAAAATGGTCGACAGCCTGGTCGAGAAGAAGGAAAGTCGCTGGAAAGGAAGGGCCAAACCTGAGAGAAGTGAATGCACTCACTGCCAGACCAGACAAGACGGAAGGCACGCAGGTGAAGTTTCCACTCGGAGCATGGTTTGCGGAGACACAGGCGTCTGCCCTTCAGGTTCTGGCTCCTGGGCTCTGCTGAGTTGCTCCCGGTATTTGTTTACATCCGAGCCCTACAAAGCTCTCTCAGTGGTTCAGAAGATATGCTTCACTTGGTCTACCGCAGCACAAACCAAACCCAACCCATTATCAACGAACAAGTCACCATTTTCCAGAGCTCGACTAACATGAATGTATCAGCTTCGTTTCTCACCATTGCCGGGTTGCAAACCACCGCCAGTAATTGTATATGCACATCGGAAACGTCTATTCTCTCATCGGCCCCGTCTAGCTCGATCCAAGCACCTTCTTTGTGTCGTCCTCCTTGTCTAGCAGCCCCAGATTCCTTATTTGCGTAGCATTCGGAGGATTCTCTTTCAGCTTCTTGGCCTCGGCAGCTCTGTAAGCAGCCTGCAGGGCCTTGACTCTGGCAGCCTGTATCACAATCTCGATCAGCGAGAGGTTCCCTATGATGTTTGCGCCGGCGCTCGGGGCAGTCGCTAACCTCCTTTCTGTGGTGCAAGCACTCGTAGTAGTCCTCCATGTGCCCGGCGCACTTGGCCTTTCCAGAGTCATCGAATTCGGTGGTGTTGACAACGTAGCACGAGAGCAGCTCCTGCCAGAAGGGGAAGCACCGAGACGGGCCTGCGAGGGCATTGTTAGTTTATATGTTGCTAGGTGAGGGCCAATTGAGGCCATTGGGACGTGTCCAGGCTACCCACCGCCGTTCACGCCGTATCCGGACGCCATGATGGGCTATGAATTTCCCTGTTTGTGGTGTGGCAGGAGGGGAAGTTGAGGGGAGGTCGCGAATGTCGTCGGCGTCCAAAGTCAATGTGATGTTCCCACTTGGAGCTTGGCCAGCAACAGACACACGCACGGGAGAGCGGCAGCCACACTTTTGCAGGTCAAGCCACAGCAGGGATGACCCACAATGACGGACTGCGGGCGAAATGCCCTGCCTTCGATTGGCTGGCTGACCCCTATCCCTGCCGCTTTCTTGGGGGAAGATGCCAAGAGCGAATGTGTTCATGATCCCCAACTGCTGTTTGTGGAAGCTCTCAGCTCCGTGTCCTTGTCGTTGACTGACAAGTTGCCATGTGAAGGCATATCCGACGTAATTCGACATGCGATTTTGCACCGTTCCATTCATTCTCTAGGTCGATAGTACGAATCTCGGATACAGGAGCCTCGAAAATAATGACCCTCTCACTATCAGCGGCAAAGCTGGTCCTCCTTGCCGTGCACTTTGCTGTTCAGGCCGATATCGATAGCTTGGCTGTCCTTGCTGCCCGCCATGACACTGTCCTGCGCAAAGACCTGGTGTTGCGCATTCTCCTGACATACCTCCCCGAAACCTTACAATCAAACAAATACGTCGGATTTCTCGAGAAGATCGAAAAGGGAACACTTTCAGAAAACACCAACCATGACGTCGATGCTTCATCTGTAGAGACGCTAGCCGAGGGGGATGCGACAAAGCGGGTGCGCAAGCTTCGACTACTGCCCTTGACTTTCAAGGATACACCAAAAGAGGTTGGGGATGACCCTATCACCTCCTTCCTTGTCCGGAGGTCATACAAGGTGGACGAGGAGGCTGGCTTGCTCGCGGAGCTCCCGACCTTGTTGCTGCCGTTCATGAATCAGTCGGCATACGTGCGGACCCTTTTGATCTCGACAATCTTGCCGCTTTTACGACGAAACTGCGAATACCACCCAGAGGATCCAATTCAATACACCTTGTCTGCTTTTCAGGAACTTCCAGATCGTGTTGCCGTCAATCTGTTACTGTCTCGGACCGGAGCCAGGGAAGAGGACTTGCCCGTAGTAGGACGAGACTTGCGGGGTCTAATCGGTCCATGGCTTGTGGACGAAAAGAAGTGGAAGACCAGGAGACGTAGTATCGTTTCTCCCAACGGCGAGGAAGACGACGGGATTTGTGCCGGATACGACGAGGTTCTTCGCTGGCTCACCACGCAAGCATCAAAGAACTGGAGGGTGGCCGTCAATGCTATTCAACAGTGGGGTGGTCCAGGAGATGCTGACCTGGCCGGCTGGGGGAAGCTGGAGTTGACAGAGCAACAGCAAGACCGTGTGCAGCGAGCCTATGCGCAGGCAGCATTGGCATCGGCCTATGTGCTTCCGGAAGCGTCATCTGAGGCGATTGAGGGGGCATATAGTATCGCGGCTCAGGTTGCGAACCTCCGTGGTCTAGATCCGCTGCCCCTTTTTCCCTCAGCTGTCGCACTCCTGCCGCCCCTTGCCGAGCAAATATCTGAGGACATCATCTCCACCAAAACCGCGACGTTTATGCGGAATGATCTGTTGGCTTCATCGAATATTTTGACGTCGCCCGACAACTCTGCTGTCGCTTTCTTGGAGGCACTGATTCTCAGTGCTCATCTTCTCACCCATGCCGGCCAAGCTTGCACCATTAGAAGAGCCGGAGAGCTCGCCTTGTTACAAGACGAACGTGACCAGAAAGAACAGGCCAGCAAGTTGATTCATCATCTCAACCACAACGGCCCAAAGACAGACGATAAATTTTGGTTGGGGGCGAGAAATGAGATTCTCTGGCTTCGGGATTGGGGTGCTGAGGAGGTGTCTCTTGAGGCCACTCCTAAGGGGGTGTTCAGCAAGCTGAAAAAAGAGTTTTTGGAGGTTGAGATTCTCAAGGCGTTGCTTTTCAACACACGTAGGTTGTTTCTTCTAGGTTCTGTTCTTCTCTTTACTAACTGCCGAAAGGCTACTCCTTGGCGCGGTCGTTGTACGAAGACGCCCCTGACAGGCCCCTGGACGAGAAGGTGCTGCAAGACACGGTCTACGCCACCGCCATGACGGCCTACGACAACGCTTCCAATCCCAACCGCACTCGCGGTGGGCTCAAGAAGTGTGATGAGATGTAAGCCAACGCCTTCTCAACTCCTCTCACTTTCTCCATACTAATAGTCCTCCCTCAGAATCAAAGCCTTCCCCTCCACCCTCCCCAAATCCCACCCCCTCGCCCAAAAAGTCGAGGCCCTCCTCCAAGCCACCCACGCCCTAAGTGAATACCGTCTAGTCCTCAAACAAGGCGAACCCTTCACCCCTATTGTCCTGCGGGTGCACTCGGATCCGATCTCCATCATTGGCAAAATCCTCGAGCAAAACCCCAAATCATACACCCGGCTCCAGGACTTTGTCGACCTGGGCAACCGGATGGTCCAAGCCGGGCTGGTTAAACAATCTCCTTCCTCTCATCCATCCTCTCTCCAGCACCCGCCAGAACAGGTGTCTCAACGCATCACAGCCATGTGCATCGACGCGGCTTTAACAGAAGAAGATTTCGAGACAGCCTACTCTTTTGTCGTCACCCGTCTCGATTCTCCTGCTACCGGCCAACAAAAAGATGATTACTCGTGGCGAGTGGCGCTGCAGGCGGGGAAGTACCGGCGCACGGCGAGGACGACCAAGCCGACGCATTTTGGGACCGGGAGCGCGAACGAAGAGATTAGGCACTTGGAGCAGAGGATTGAGTGTTTGAGCGTTGCGTTGAGGATCGCGCCGGGGGCGACGCTGCAGGAGATTTTGAATGTTTATCGACGGGCGGAGGAGGAGCTGGAGGTGAAGGTTAGGCAGGAGGAGGAGAGGGAGGAGGAGTGGGATTGGAGGGGGGATAGTGTCTCGGGCACAAACATGCCGGGGGGGTTTAACAGTACGAAAAAGGCAAAACAAAAAGGTTCTGATACAGAGAGCCCATCGATAGGTGTTAAAAGTACCACACTTTCTGCCTCACTGTTTTCAACTCCGACTCCCACCTCCAACTCCCACAGAAACTCAAAAACATGCTCAGCATGGAGATGATCAGCTCCTCCCAACCTTTACATTACTATTGATAACAACGACCCCTCAATGGAACGTAGCAATCAAGCCCAGGTCCCTAACAGCCCCTGA